AGTAGTTTTGCTTCAAATTCCTTTGTCTTTCACGCTCATTTTCTCTTTGTTCATCCGTGAAGTTATGCCTCAAATTCCTTTGTCTTTCACGTTAATTTTATCTTTGTTCATCCGTCAAGTTTTGCCTCATATTCCTTTTTCTTTCACGATCATGTTCTCCTTGTTCATAATCGAAGTCCCGCCTGGATTTGCGTTTTCTCTCTCTCTCTGCTTGCCGCTTTTCTTTGGTGAGATTCCTTCGTCTTTGCCTTTCTTTTTCACGCCTCCAGAGTTTGTCCTCTTCCGAAAAAACTCTTTTTACTTCTGGCCTTTCTTTTGGCTTCATGCTCCTCTGAGCTTTCTTTCGACATATCGATTTCGGAAAGGGGTTCCATCGTAAATAGAGTAAATATGAATATAAATATAAGCTTGAATAAAAAACTGTGTTGTTATCTTTCGGTATTTCTATACGTAATAACAGGTGTAAAAACGTTTTTTACAAAAGTTTGATAGCCGAATTTACCTTCATGTGTACCCGGATGTTGCAACGCGTCGACATTCCCGCCAAAAATAAAAGATAATCTAACCAGCCAATCGGGATTCTTGCGTACACGGACGGACGGACGGACGGACGGACGGACGGACGGAAGTGACGTCAGCCAAGCCATGAAAAATCAACTCGATGTTTTACCATTTTTTCTTAAGTATGGTGCTCCGCTATTAATATGCTGAGATGTAGATTATCTTGATCCAGGCCCAGAAACCAAACCTCGTTAAAACAGGAATGGTGCTGTTTTAATGAGTTTCAAATGAATTTTTGATTAGTGATGTAATCTTTTAATTAATGAACCTTTATTGTCTCCATAGGGTCGTACTCTCTTCTGACAGTGCAGTTTGAACTTGATAGGCGCCTTGGTTTTCACATGATCCAGGTATATTTGCCTGAATACCATCTTAATACCTCCATAATTCTTTTGCAAAGAAAAATCAATAGTTAATATATCAATCCCACCCAGCTTAGTGATATACCAGAGTAGGGTTGAGCATTTTGTTTACAGCGGTGCGCGGATGGGACTTATACTAACAAATGCGGTTAACTAGAAATTGATTCATGGTTCTACTCCCCTAGTTACTGTTGCGCTGTGTGACACAAGCTCGATAAATTAGCAAGAATTTCTAGTCCGAATTTAAAGCTCTGATCGTCGAAAATTGATTATTTTGTTTCTATGATCGTTTACTTTCCCTTGAAAATAAAAGAAGACTGCCTCGCAATCCTTGTAGTACTCTTTAAATGAGATACTGTGTAGTCGTTTGTGGGACAAGATTTTGTTTTCACTGGGAAATCTGCTGCAACGGTGATTGGCTCTATTCTTCTTCTTCTTCTTCTTCGGCTAATTTATGATAAGAACATCAAATTAGTAATTAAAAAGACCCCTGACATTTAATTTATTTATTTTCAAGATATATCTGCCATCTTATTTGATTGTCATACTGGCTTGGGTAAGCTTCTGGGTTGATCGTGAGCAAACTGCTGCCCGGATCGCCATGGGTATCACCACCGTGCTGACTATGGCAACCCTCATTGGTAGTGCCCGTGTGTCCCTACCTAAAGTGTCTTACGTCAAATCCCTGGAGTGGTTCCTCATCATGTGCTTCTTGTTTGTTTTCTCTGCCATTCTTGAGTATTCATTTGTATCTTATCTGGTCTTCCGACAAAGGATCAAGAACCGCGAAGATCTTGCACGTGATCCGCAGGTAAGCTGAATACTGATGACAAATAATTTTATCATATAGCGTATTTTAATAGACAAAAAAATAGCGCGCGCAATTAATTCTCCCTTCGTAACACGCGCGCTCYTAGCAACTGATACATTTAACTTTAGCACGCGCACATTGTTATGTTGCGTGTTTTCTTGTAAAATTGTCACAACCGTTTGCCCTGATGAAGAGCAGGATGCTCGAAAGCTTGGCTTGATTTATAATTAAAAAGCTGATGAATCATAACTATCATGAATAATTTTATTGTTGTTTCCGATAATTCACACTGACAAATGACAATATGATGACAAATCTTCAGTTCTTTAGACTGCATTTTAGCTAGCTGAATCTAGTTTCACATTGTTAAAGATATGAGCTGAACTAAAAATTCGAATGCCATGTGTTCATAAAATAGTAATTGTAGTGGTAGTAAGTGTGAGCTGACAGAATAATCAGCCTGCTCTAACAAATAAAAAAAAAAATTTTGTTGAGTCAGTGCAATATTTACAGGCCAGCACAGCCAGAAATATTTGAAAATAACTTGCGCACTAGAGGTTGCAGACTCAGCCAATGTATGACGTCATAGTATGAAAGTCGTGTTGACCTCACAGAGTCAATAAACTCTATAATGTTGCACTATTTGTGTGTCAAATACTGCAGTCAATTTTAGATTTTGAAAAAGTCAGAATATGTCCACCACACCTTCCCCCTAATCTCTTTAGATTTGCTTTAAGGCAAAACGGCTTTACTATAAAAATTGTACTATTGCCAAATAAAGTAATGATAAAGATTTTGCAAAACTCAGTATAACTATATAAGACATTATCATATACCAACTTGTGTACTTCCTAAGAACGTGAATTTGTCACGTAAACTAAAAGTTTCTGTTGGTTTGTTTTTATTGAATTATTGTATACAAAAATAAGTTACTCTGTACACAAGTTGGTATATGCTTGTTATAACAATTATTCGCCTCAGGCTCAGTGAATATGGGGAATATTTACCTCGCCGCTCGAAGACTCACGTCTTGGTAAATATTCCCCGATATTGCTAAGTATATAATTGCTAAGTATATTTCAATCCTTCATACTGATTGTTTATTATTATACCAGCATTCCCGTGAGATGCTCCTTCCCGAAGAAGCTGTGCTCGAGGGTGATCAAGACGGCAGCGGAGAACCGGGCCAAGAAGCGGTTTGGGTACCGAGTAAGCAACAAGTGGAGACAGTGTTGACCAAAACAGGAGTTGCACCTTGCAAGAAGAATGTCAGTCGGGCAAGGAAGGATCAAAGCAGCATTGTGGCTCTCATCAACAAGGTTGAGATTGTTTGGCGAATTGCCTTTCCTTTGACCTTTTTGCTGTTGAATCTAATCTACTGGGTGTATTACTTGGCAGTATCAGTTTCTAAATAAATGATCTGAGGATTGAACTCAGTTTTTAATGCAATCGGATAGTCAATAGCATTAATGCCGATTCGTTGAAAAAGTTCTATATCTAATACGATAGATATGGTGCATGAACTGATTGTATCTGGCAATATCACTGCTATTGCTGCAGCTATATTATCGCATGTTGTAAGGTAAACTGATCAGTGATATGATTCTATATATAACAGTTGAAGTTTAGGCCCATAGATTTTTATTTAAAAATTGTTCATGAGCTGAAAGCTTTCCAAGAAAGTGATAGAATAAAGGTATTCCTGCTCCATTAGATAAGACATAGCAAAAAAAAATCCTGTGTTATTCACCTCTAGAAGGTGCATAATGTGTACCAAGCTAGGTCGCACTTTTAAGTGTTTGGTTGAGTATAATCTTAAATAATATCTAAAATCTAAAATATTATTATTTTAGCATAGCTTTATTCGAATAGTCACAATTTGTCAAGTATATACGGTATATRATCTTTCAAAACTTAATGTTCTTAATGGGATATATATTGGGTTTAATTTGTAAGTGCCATATGCATGCCTGTTTTCTTAAATCTGAGTATGTAAAGAGTTGTATCTTATATCCAAATAAAAGATTCAGTTCGTTTGAGAAAACAAACTCCTATACTGCATTTAGTTAGTGTCATTTTAGCGGCTTATATAATTGACTCCCAATTGGTATTTGTGAGTCCTACTACCACTACAACTCGTTCTTTTCTGCTTCAAAGCCTATCTTTGTGCACCATCACATTCAGAATATTAATATAAAGGAAAATGTTTCAGAAAAAATCGTTGAATTACGGTCTGACCATCATAAACATTATCCTAATGGCAAAGTCACAGGCAACTACTGAATCTGTACAATTAAGGTTCGTATTTTTTCAAGATGTAAATTGAATTGTATCTTTCATACAACAAATACACACTTTGACAGATAATCATAGTTTTTCCCCCTAAAACCTAATACCCCATTTACCAGGCTTAAACATGTTTAAAAGTGGTTTAACTAAACAGGTTTGAACAACTATCTACGCCTTTGACTTGCTCTGATAATATTTTAGAAAGTTTCATTATATTGTAGGTTTCTAGTTTCTCCATTTTTTTCCTAATAACAACATAGTTTAAGTGGGGTATAAGACTCTACCAATAGCAGACGTTGGAGTAACAATATCTTATTCAAACCCTTGTTTCAAATCGAGCCATTTGCATCAATTGATAAAATGTATAGAGACTGACCCAAATGCAACAACGGACTACTTGGACGATACGCCGGAAATGACGGAAAATATATAGAGATTCGTCATTTGTTGTATTCTATTTTGGGGAGCTGTTAATATCAATTTTTATTATATAATTACCAATGAAATTTTTTTTTTCTATTTCGAAAAATTGATATCTTCACACGTGAAAATAACATGTTTTTTTCACGTGTGAAAATAACACCATAGCGATGGCTATTCAAAAATACACGGAAAGAATTGCCTGAAAAAGCCAAAACATACTTCATTGATAATTATATAATAAACAGAATATTACATGGCCGCTTGGAGATACGAATTTTATCTTCTCGTGTTGAAAATCTCTTACTCGTTCGCTGCGCTCACTCGTGAGAGATCTTTTCAACACTCGAAAATAAATTTCGTATCTCCGCGCGCCCATGTAATATCCTCTATATATAATTTATCAATTTGTATAATTTATTTGCTTGAGGTGACTGGCTATATGAAAACAATTATTTTTTTTTAGATTACGATTCTTTGAAGACAAATTTAATCAAAATATGAAAAGAAAAAATAGGTGTTCTGTGCTTGTTTTCAAGATAATCAGATATTAATGGGGTGCCTACACGCGTGTTTTTGAAGCAAAAATTGCGCCGGCGGAAGTGATCAGATCAAAATTAAATCTCATAAGATAATAGTTATTAATTTACAGACTCTATAAGAAAGAAACACTTTCAGTGTCCTCAAAAGATCTTATAAAGTAAAACAAAAATTCCTACAAAAATCTATTTTTTCGTGTGTGTGTCAGAAAAAAGTGTGTTACAAAAAMAAATCTAAAGAATTTGACACATAGTAGATCTTTAAAAAGTTTTTGAATTCAATTTTAAAAACGTATAGAGTCCCGTGCAAAATTTGAGGGTTTTGCCCTCTTGAAGTTCAAAACGTGTGTGGTTCTTCAATAAAATCAGTCGTTGGCTCAAACGTTCAAAATTGGGCAGTCACCTTAAACGGTAGCTTTTAATAAGAAGCCAGGAAATAAATTACTTGTCTAAATAGAGGTAAAACTTAATAAGGTAAAGGTAATTTATTTTACTTCGATTACGTGGGGAGTGGTTAACCAAATCTCCCGAGCCAGTAGTTTATCATTTATAAAACGTTTTTTTTTTTACGGAGGTAAGATTTCTTTTTTTTTTCCAGGGTATTAGTAGAGGTTATCGTATGTGCCGAGTGAAATTAGGGATTAATTTCAGCGAGGCGAAGCCGAGGGAAATATCGAGAATCGGGGGAAAACAAAACTAAACATTTCCCTCACGACCAGACATTAAGTGCATAATATCTCCTGGCCCAGTTCCCAAGTGAGGGCAGATCTATGCATCCAATTCCCAATGCAGTTATTTTTTCGTTTGAACCTACTTATTTCATCTAACAAAAAATGTGGCTTTCCTAATTTAATTGCTTAGTCGCTAGTTCTTCCACTTTTTTTCTTGATTGAATTTCCCAGTACGGCAAACTTCATGGCGCAGGGTACATGATGTGACATCATCTCAGCTGTCACTTTCCACCAAAGTTTTGAAGAGACATAGCGGATCAACTGGCTGCTCAAGGCACAACAGATGACGGAACACACTGTTTTTAATAGTAAAAATCACAACATTAAAATCAAGCTACCATCAATATCAAACATTTTTAATGGCAAACGACAAGACTTAGGGCACGGCTAACTCACAGACATTGGGTATACAGTCAAAAAAATTGTAGTGTGACTTGAGTATGCAGTTTAACATATACAAAGACAGTGACTTAATATTCTCTCGCAAAAATAAAATGTCCTTGAAAGACTAATGAGGCTTCCTAACATGTTTGCAGCAGATTATTGAATATGTAGCATAGAGGATATGGATGGATGGACACACCTCTAAGTATCATAGAAACTAATCAGAGGCGGCGGAAGCTGAAAAATTTGGGGGGGCACTCCAATATTTCACGGTACCTTGAAATGACCCCCCCCCCCCTTCCCTGTTTAGCTTGATTACAAACGTGTATGTGTGATATTTCAATCAGTAACATTTTGCGCACATTAAACCACTTGCAATTGTGCTGAGAGACATAAAAATGATGCAAGTCGTCGCTAGATATATCGTATATTTTTTAGATACAGAATATTATGTAATATCAAAATAATAAATAATGGTAATCACAACCAAATCTCATGCGGTTTTTTTTTGTGTGAGGCATTATATTCTGGGGGGGSCMRKYCCCCCCMAAAAA